TCATTCATTTATCAAATATTTATTGAATGTTTATTATGTGTAAGGTATTATGTTAGGTATATTGAAGAATAAGATCGACTGATCTGTCATCTATCTACCTACCTATCACTTATTTCTGGCTCACAGAGTTCACATTATAATGGGAAGGTGTAGAGACAACCACATAATGATAATACATGTCAGTACTTTAAAGTGCCTATAGGCGAACATTTGCTGTGGTCCTTGTGCAGTTTGACAGACTTAGCTCACCTCTTGTTCATGAGGTATTTGCCTCCATATTATAATTTGTCCACAATAAAATCAAGCTGTCATTTCAACTGGTTTTCTTTTTCCAAATGCATAGGTTCTTACGAGTGGAATTTTCAAGAACAATGTTATGTAACCAAAGCTACCTGACGCCATCCTCGTCATGGCCTATAGCCTTCTAGGAAAATGATTCCCAACATACTGTGAATCAGGGCTCATTGAAACAACAGATTGCTGGGCTTCCTCAGTGTTTCTGATACAGGTCTGGATGGGCCTGACAATTTGTACTGCTGGTATGGGGATCGTGCCATGAGAACCACTGCTTCAGGGTTATCTTTGAATTTTCCCTATTGCCTGCCTTTTGTATCGACATTGACACCAAAGCTTGTCCTTCTCTGTCCTCTGTCTTTCCCTTCTGTTCCCATTCCTTTGACTTTTGTTTTTCATCTTGAGGGGAGGGGACATAGAGGAGCCTGCTTGGTTCCATGACAGGATGGTTTGTGTTATCCGGTTTTCTCTGATTCTCTTTTCTTTTAATTATTTTTTTAAGACTTTATTTATTAGACAGAGAGAGAGCGAGCACGCAAGAGAAGGGGGAGGGGCAAAGGGAGAAGCAGACTCCCCACTGAGCAGAGAGCCCTATGCGGGACTCTATCCCAGAACCCTGGGATCATGACCTGAGTCGAAGACAGACGCTTAACCGACTAAGCCACCCACTGTGCCCTGATACTCTTATTTTCAAATATGTCCTTTACTCTGGGTTTCGTACCTTACAATTTTTATGAAGCTGTAGTAAAGTGAACTTGAGACACTCCTAGGAGAGATGGAGTACCACTGTGGCTTGTTTGGGAGTAGACAGTGGTCAGGTGAGGGATTTTCTTTCACTCTTAAAAAAATCATTAAGAAGTAGAAAAAAATGCTGATGTTATGAAGGAAGTTCAGGGGAAACCCAGGAAGTATCAAGTGGCTTCAGTGTTTGAATTCCATAGAGGAAGGAACTCTGTCAAGAGCTTATTATTCAGAGATACGAGATACAGCAAAAAAGTCCATGTCTCTTGGATGGAAGGGGCTCAGGTACTAATGACGATGGGTTTTTTTTAGACATTAACTAGTACTCTACATTTTATGAAAAGCTCTTAAATGCACCATACCTTTACAGTGACTCAAAAGGCAGGACAATTATTATTTTCCATCATAAACACAAAGGGACTGAGGGTTTTAAAACTAAGTGACTTAAGGCCACACAGCCAATTAAAGGACCCAAAACTGAACCCAAATAATCGAATTCTGGCATAACTGTATTTCACTTATGTCCCCACTCCAAGTATCAGTGTTATCGTTATGGAATATGCTTTACAGCTAAGGGCTTTCTGGTTCTCTGCTATGGACTAAGCTCCATAGCCAATACAACAGATGATTTATTTGTTTCAAACACTTCCTTTCAATGAATATGTGGATCATTAACACAGAGCCCCACAGAATTTTATTTGGAGTCCACGTCTCAGAATAGATTCTCTGCAGTTATGGATCGAAGTACTACTGATATGAAAGTTGGAGTAACTGAAATGCAAATCTGGGTAGCATGCATAATAGCCATAATGCAGAGAACCCAGATCTTTTTCCTTTTAGCTCGGTCCAGCTACTCTTTCTTAGCAAGATTCTTTTAGATTAGGTTGTAGCTAAGAATACTGAAGCCATCCCTACTCTTCCAAGTATCCCTAGTACTTTCTAGAATCTTTTTAGACTGACATTTAGATTTTTTGCTCTGGATTTTTATAATTTCCACTGGGCTCTTGGGAAGTTGGGAGGCCCTTTTTTTTTTGTTTTGTTTTTTAATATTTTCCTAAGAAATTGGAGAGAACTTTGTTTTGAAATGGAGGCTGCAGTGAATCCAGGTCCTGAATCACTTCCACATGTTCAGGCTGTCTTGCCTTTTGAAAAATCTAGACCAATTGTTCTTTAACTTTGTTAGGTTAGGGACTCCTTCAGCTAGACAAAAGTCTTGATAGACAGATGGCCCTTCCAAACTGCCACTGCCAAATAATTCAGAGTGAATGGGAATAATTTCACTTCTTTTAAATGAGGGGCCCAAGTGATATCTGTGTATTATTAATTGTTCTCAGATGTGGCCGTGTTATATACACCAATACAAAACCTTCATATTTTACTAGAGATCTTAAGGCTACACTTTGAGCATAACTCAGATTTATAAAATGACTTTACTTGTAGCTCTTGCATCCATGATGTCTAAATGTACAAACCCATTGCTGGTTTTCTCATGGGCAAATCTAGTTATTTGGGTTAACCACAGAATCCTTTAGTGAATCCAATGGATGACTGTGTTTGTATAGCAAAAGACAATTTTTGATAGTGCACTGAAAATTTTATGTTGCAAAATTAAGGCTTATTTCAATATGTCATCTAATAGAATATGTGAATTTTATTTCTACTAGGTCTACTGGAAGAGATGCACAAGGGTGGGAGGTGGGGGCGGGGGGGAAGGAGAATAGAAATGTTTATGGATCCAAGACCAGCAAAGTGAACTTCAGCTAATAAGACACTTTCACAGATGATCTCTTTTTCCTCCCTAACCTTTAATTTGATGGTTTATATGACAACTATTCAGAAGAAGAAATGACAGACTATGTGATAGCACTCTGTAAACCATAAAGTGCCACATAACTAGAAATACAACCATTTGATCAATTTACCAAGTAATGATGATACCTATACCACATAGAAAATTGCCCTTAATTGATCTCAGGTTTTAAGTGCAGTCACATTTACCCTAAATTAACATACTGACTTACTACCTGATTTTCTTCCTAAATTCAGTAGTGAGTTACTGTGTTGATGTGGAGTTGTGAAAACTGTCAACCGATTGTGAATCAACCGACTCACACAAAGACACATACACAGATGGACCTAATGCTTTGACTTGAGTTGACTGTGAAGAAGGCAAAGTTCATCCTAAGTAAACGTTCTGCTTTAGCTGTTCACCTCCATGTCGGGCACCTTGTCTCAGGGTCTGTTATTTTCCATCCCTTCTATTTCCGAACTTAAATTTATGTGCCTTATGTCCTATCTCCTAGATTCCTGCTAGCTGATCTGAGAAACAAGGTTGCTCAGAGGAACCAATTTATTTTCATGTATTTTGATTCTAGTAAGTAAATTTCTCTGGCAACTTATTTGTCACTTAACAGGGGTGTTCTGGAACCAGAGGTATACCAGAAGAGGGACTCATGATAGGAATTTCAAATACGGTGACTATCACTGGGGTAGATATTTTCAGATGCGAGAGAATCTATGTGAAATCATACCACATATGTAGTCACTTCTATGGCAGAGCATGCGTGAAGTTCTCACTTCTCTGCCTGTCCCATTACTGAGCTGGAAAAGGGCACTAGCTGGGCAGTCAGGAGATCTTAGTTCTAGAATCATGGAATCCAGAGATGAAACACCACCTCACCCAACTACTCACCTAATGACTGAGGCCCCTTTACAACCTCACTATGAAAAACTCATCCATTCTCTCCTTGAACACTCTTAACTATAGAAACTCAGTCCCTTTGGAGGCTGTCTATCCCATCTTGGAGCAGCTAAGACTGTTTACAAACCTTTTCTTTTATTCAGTTGAAAGACTCTCCTTTATAGCTTCCAATCATTGGTTCAGTTCTACCTTTTGAAGCCAAACTGAACAAGCTTAACGTCTCTCTCCTCCCAACCATTTAAATAAAGCTAACAGTGCTAATGTTAGCTACCATTTATAGAGTGCTGATTATGTACCAGGAATTGTTTTAAGAGTTTCATTTATTAATTCACTTAATCCTGAAAACGACACTCTGAGAAAGATATATTACTGTTATTCCCATTATAGAGACAATGAAACAAGTGTAGAAAGGTTAAGTAATTTTCCCAAGCTGACAAAGTTCCACAGTGCCTAAGGCTGATTTTGGACCTAAGCAATGTAGCCTGTAGAGCTCCAGCCTCACTACATTATGCTGCCCCTGAAGCTCAAATACTTGGATGTTATATGATGCCCTGAGGCATCTTTTTTGCAGGTTGAACAGCCCTCGGACCTTCAACCATGATATGCCATGGCTTTGCATTCCTTTGTCGTCCTAATTATACTCCTCTGAATATGTCCCAGTCTAGTGTCTTTTTAAAAGGTAGTGCCCAGACTAGACTGTGGTCTCTAGATATTGAAAATAGGGAATAAGCAATAGTAAATAGAGTGAGTCTATTACTTCTCCATATCGGGGACCACAAATGCAGCTTAAGCTTGCACTGGCCTTGTTGTGGCCTCTTTAAGCTGATGGTTCATACAGAACTTGCTACAGACGGAAACTCTCAACCCCGTTCTGCCTCTATGACTTTGGTCTATAAAATGAAGTGCCTGGAGTGAACAATGTCGAAGGACATTTCTAGTTCTAAACACCTAGAATTAAAGAATGTATTACAAAGTCCAATGTGCGTAAGGGATATTGTGCCTGCAAATTCTGTCAGACGTTTCCCCATTTGGCCCCCTTCTCCACAGGGTTTCTGTGATTTTTGTGTTTTGGTGGCAGATGCTTCACGCCTACAATGGGGGTGCTGCTGGGACTTCTAGAAGATGGCTGACAGTGGGGTCTCCTTCAAATCTGAAGGATGACTCCAAACCTTCCCTTGCACTTGCTGTCCTGTCCCTCCTTTCCTACAGCCCCCTCACACCCTATGGCCTGTTTCTAGGCCTCCAGAGGGGCCTGCGCACTCACCTGTGTGTACGAACATGTGCTTGACGTAGTTCTGTTTGGCGGTGAAAGTCTTGTTGCAGAGAGTGCACTCATAAGGCTTTTTTTCGCCCTGCCCACTGGCTGTGCTGTGACCTGCAGATGGGGCCAAGGGCTGTGGCGCTGGCAGCTGTGCAGTAAAGGTCGACAGGCCAGGCTGGGACACTGTCACAAACTGGGTCTGCTGGCCTGCCAGGGGCTGTGGCAGGCTGAAGAGGAAAGGCTTGGGGCCACTGCCCGCGGGCTGGGTAGTGAAGAGGGCCGGCAGGTAGGTGTTGCCGGCTGTGCCAATGACCTGTGTGTTGCTGGTCAAGGTCAGAGGCATCCTCAAGTTGCTGGTGAGGGTTTCTGTCTGGCGTAAGTAGAGCTGGGTACTTGGCAATGGCTGCCCGATAGACGTGTTGACGGAAGGCTGCTGCAGGACGCTCTTGTCGGAGCTGTTGCTGACAGTGATGACCGTGTTGTCCATCTCCACCTCGTTGCTTCTTTCCGGGGAGGAGGCACCTGTCTCTAGCTGGTGCGGCTGTGGGCCGCCCTCGGCAGGAGCTTCCGTAGCTTGCTCCGCTTGGGCAGGTTCGGCCTGGCCATCCCGCGCCACCCCGGGCCCGAACTGCTGCTCCACCGAGTCAGGCTCGGTGCCGATGGAGGAACTGACGCCCGAGTCGAAGCTTTCGCCCTTGGGCTCACTCTCAGTGCCCTCCGCCTGGTCGGTGTCTTCCGTGCACTCCTCGGACTCGTTGCGCTCCAGGATCTGCACCCTTTGCTGCCCATAGTAGTCGTAATCGTCCTCCATCTCCTGCTTAATGTGGATGTTGCCCACCAGGGTCTGGATGCGCACTGGCCGGGGCTGCTTGCGGCAGTGCGTGGTCTCGGGGGTGGTGGACAGGTAGCGCTCCATTTGCTGCGAGCGCTCGTGAATGCGCGTGATCCAGCTGGGGTCCTCCATGTGGTGGTCACGGGGCAGGCCGAGCGCAGTTTCATGGTGGCTGACCACCGCACCGCTGTAGAAGGAGCGCTCCCCGCTGCCGTTCTGCATGGAGCATGCGTACAGCGCCGAGTAGATCCTGTCCACGCTGTGCTGCGGGTGGCTCTGCAGGTAGCCCGACTCGGTGTCGCTGCTCTGGCCCGATGTGCCCGACTCAGGAGTGCCCCGTGGAGTGTCCTGGCCCGAGTCCTGGATCCCCGGGAACACATCGCCCACGTTCTGCGACACAATGCGCGTGCACTCATCGATGACTGTTTTGATCTGCAGGATGCTGGCGGCCGTGAGGATCTGCAGGGCTTCCGACTGCGAGACGCGCAGCACGCCGCTGTACATGAAGTCAATGAGCTTTTGCACCGACTGCACCGACACCACGGACGGGATCTCGATGTCGCTGTAGCCCAGTAGCAGCTTGTCCTGGAAGAAGGGGCTGCCGGCTGCCAGCACGCAGCGGTGTGCGCGCAGCATGCTCCCGTGGATGCGCACCGTCACGTCACAGAAGTGGCCACGGTTGCGCTGCTCGTTGAGGGTCTCGAGCACGGAATTGCTGAAGTTGTGAAGGTTGATGCTGTGAATGCGCTCGGTCATCCCCTTGCAACTGATGTCACCTGCGCGGTGGCAAGACAGACACAAGACAGGGTGTGTGGGTCAGAGCTAGCTGGCTGCATTCCTAACACCCAGGTCTCAGGTGGGTCACGCTCATGGCTCCTGGAAGTACCCCCACCCCCGACCTTGCAGGCACACGCGGGCTCTGTGGCGAGATGGACATGCTTTGCACAAGTATCGGGCTGCGCGCGGATGATGGCCTACGGGAATGAGGCCTTGGATTTGGCTCCAACAATATCCCAGCTATTTTGGGTATTGAATCCCTATTAATGCCCTAGAGCTTCAGCCAGGGCTGCCAGTTGAAATAGGACAGCCTAATAAACAGATGGGTCATTTGTCTGCTCTTCCTACAACTTCAGCACGTAAGACCTGAGAAACAAATGGAAGATTGGTTCTCATGGAACGCTCTCTTTCTACTTTAGACAGGTCTAAGCCAAGGTCCTTTGGGAAAGCTTACATTTTCCCCAGTTTTTCAAAACTCCTGATTTTATTCATGGCAACAATATTCATAGTTAAAAAAAAAAAACAAACCCCCTTCCTATTTATTATTTTATATGTATATTTCTCAATCCACACCATGTTATGGAAAAACCCCTGGAAAATCCAGTGAAGACCAAGATATCCACCAAACACCGACGCCATGTTTTCCACTTGAGGGACAGACTCTAGGACACAGCCTGCTAGATAAAGGGGTGCTCACCCACTGCTTTCTGTATCTACACACTCTTCTTGTCACCTCCCACAATCTGTTTGAGGACTTTCTAAATTGGTGATATGTGACATGGGTCGTGTTCTGCATTTCCTGAAGCTTAATGAGGAAGGAATGTTCAAAAGGTCAGACATGGCAGCACTGACCTGGGAGACTGTGATATACTAGGTGATCATATTTAGTGTTCAAACTGGGCACTTCTGAGAGTGAAAGGGAGCACTGTTAATAATTAGGTGAGGACAGCAGAAGTAAATGGGGAATGGGCTGTGTGATCACCCTAGGCGATTCCGTATCCTATACACTTGCTACAGGGAAGTATCAAAGGGCTCCCAGTAGGAAGGCCACAGTCAGCTATGTGGAAGCTCTCCGTAGCCTGACCCATCGTCACCCTTATACCCCGGGCTCTGAAGACAAGGGATAACAGTTACATTTGGATCACAGATTGAGAATTAAAATGGGTGGCTGTAACATGAAGGCTTAGGACTTTCCTAATTTTCTGCCTCACTTCTCAAGTGACTCCAAAGAATCCCTCTCTCCGAACGGTTCTTCATTTATAGTCCCCATTCTTGCCTTTGCAACTGAACAGTCAGCTTGAGAGAGGCCAAGTAAGTGGGCTTTCATAACCAGGCAGCCCAAACACTGATTGTTGGCCAATGGCTGGGATCCCCGTGTCTTGTGAGGGGTAGCCCCCCAGAGGTAATGACCTGGGCAGATGGGAGGAATGACCACCTCCTCGGGCTCTTTCTCCTCTGCCCTAGGAGAGAGGTCCAGTTCAGGAAAGTCTGAGCTCCACGACCTCTGCCTTGCTGCACTCGATCTTCTCATGCTGTCTCAGCTCAGTCGGTGTGAGCACATCCTTTTATATACTCATTCATTTCCTTCGTTCCCATCTTTACATGTTGTTGGCCTCACATATATCCAGTTAACTTAATACATGCCTAGAGGCTCTATGTTCACTTTCAGTTATAGGATTTGCACTGATTTTTACGTAAGAGAGTTCCTTCTTGTTCTGACTTCCATTAGGTCTGTGAAGTGCCGAAAATAATGCACTGGGCTCTAATTTCTATTTTTTTCACTGTCGTAAAAACAAACTGTCTTTGCCAGATTAAAGAATCATGGTGAATCCTCTCTGATTGTGCTCATACAAAGTATAGCCCCAGAGGAAGGCCCCAATAACCCCAGTCAGCAGACCAAATTCTAAGTTCTTGCTGAGTACCCCCATGCACAGAGAGCAGGATAACAACAAGAGCAAATATTCCTTTTTTTTTTAACGCTTACTGGGTATTATGAGATTATTTCATTTAATCGTCACAGCAACCCTTACCACGTGGGTAGTATTGTTATTATTTTTAAAAATATTTTATTTATTTATTATTTGACAGAGAAAGACAGAGAGCACAAGCAGGGTGAGCAGCAGAGGGAGAGGGAGGAGCAGGCTCCCCACTAAGCAGAGAGCCTGATGCGGGACTAGATCCCAGGACTCTGGGATCATGACTTGAGCCCAGGACAGACACTTAACAACTGAACCACCCAGGTACCCCAGGTAGGTAGTATTATTATCCCCATTTTTCAAATGAGGAAACAGGCCATACAAATGAAGAAACTTGCTCAAGGCCACACAGGCAATAGGTAGCAGAGCTGGCATTTGAACTTAGGCAGGTCTGGCTCTAGAGTTTTCACTCTTACCTGCTTCACTGTATTGCATGCATTGCCCTAAATGAGGTCTGGCCCCTGGGTGTCCATAAATCCATGGTAAGGCTGTGTGAAAAAGTCTGTTCAGTATGTTCTCCAGCTGCTTCTAGACCTACCCTTGAATTAGCATGGTGCTCATGTTTCTAGGCCTTGGGACATAGTCTCAGTAAATCTAAAAGACATCTTTTTTTTTTTTTTTTTAAGTTTATAAATGGAACAACGCAAGAGATAAAACAACTTGTCTTGACACTAAAACGTAGAGTTTTCTAGATATAGTTTTACTATCACTAAAGTCTTTTTTATTTAAGTAAAACACTAAGCACTAAAACTGGATGAGTCTGATAAAATAGCCATCTCTGAGGAGGATGAATTTATTAAATGACTTTTTTCCCACACAGGTGAAAAAACTCTTTAAACACACATTTGCTCTTAGCACCAGTCACAGCAATATCACTAGATTTGTCACGTATGATGAAGAGTTGTCTTGTTTCTGATAATTATGGGAAGAAACTACAACAAATATCCTAATAATTAATACCCATGTAGCATTTCACGGTGTACAAAACTCTTCCACATAAAACAACTTGGTCTTTCCTTAAAACCATCCTATATGTTCTTAGGACACGTCTTATTATTATTATTTGATGTAAGAAAAGGTTGAGGCTATCAAAGTGTTTAAGTGACTTACCCTAAGTTTTACAGAGCTAATAAGAGGCAGGGTTGGGATTAGAACCCACACCCCTGGATGCTTTTTATTTTTTTTTTCACTCCATAACACTGGATCGCTGAGGAATGAAACTCAGATTGCCCGAAGCTCTAAGGCCATCCTAATCTTCAGGGCATAGAAGAAAAGTTAAAAACACTGGGAGGGATGATGGGGGTTGCTGTAGGGAGGGAAATGATCAACAGCAGCATACTGTATGTCCTCATACTGTACACACTCACACCCATGCACACACTCGCAGTCTCAGGAGAAAAACTCAAAGTGCTTGTTTGACTGAACTGGCCGAGTCTATCTAACCAATCAGGTAACCCTATAGAGATAATCAGAAAAAACTGTGAAATGGTCTGAATTAGGATTCCTGCAGTAATGTCTCCCACGTCACTAAAAACCACAGAGAAAAAACTCAAACTTGCACACGTGTACAACCCGACCCGGCAAGCCTAGCTGGATTTTTAGACACAATTTTTAAACATCTCCCTGAGTACGCTGGTCCCACATCGCAGTGAGCAGCCATGAAAGGCTGAATGGGCTTTGCTGATACGGGTACAGATGCGATGGGGGACCCTGCCTCTCCATTCAGGCACGCCTCGTTCCTCCCGCACACAATGCTGAAGCAATTCTTTCCCAGGCTTTCTTTTATATTTCACACTAATACAGTGGGAAAAAGTTTCTGCCACAGCAAGGCAATGTCCAGGCTTTTGTGAAGCAGGTCCTTTCATCCAATGGGCATTAATGTATAGATTCCAATGGAATAAATCTGAAATACTCTACTGTAGAAGATTTGTTCCCCATTGAAAACAAATCTTGATTAGATGGTTATTCAGGGACTGTATAGGAAGGAATGGTGTGAAAATGCTAACTCCATTCTTTCCTAGATTGGCACTGAATAGGCATTTGGGCTATTCAAAAAAAAAAAAAAAAAAAAGAAAAAGAAAAAAAGAAAGAAAGAAAAAAGAAAAAGAAAGAAAGAAAGAAAGAAAAGAAAACACCAACCACACTCTCAACTCTACAAAACCATACAACTTTACAAAGATTATGTATATTTGGGGATACCACATCACCCCAAAAATACCCCCACAGTGGTATGAACATAGAACCGATGGGATAAAATGAAAAGAGTGATAAAAATGATTCTCTGTGTGCTTAAAAATAATAACCAACCTTCTTTCCACTAGAGTAAAAATATAGGGTCAGCCTGAGATGGCATTCACTAGAAACACGCAAGGAATCCTACCACCGTGAGTGGTCCTGTATGCTGAATGACTGTGTTCTGTGAGCGAGCACAATAAGGACAGGGCTGCAGCAGGGCGAGGACTGAAGGGAAAATCAGCTCTTGGTGAAAGAGGTGATGGAGGGCCCGCTCTGCCTTGTAGGAACCCAGCTCCTGCCTGTCTCTTAAACCGCGGGTGTCCGGGGGACAGGACTTAGCATGAGAATGAAAAACTGCTTGTGCGTGAGGGAAAATGAACAAGAAAGGAAACAGCAGGCAATACGATCTCCTTTAATTAGGTGTGAAATCCAGTCCTTTCTCAGCCCGGATATATAAAATGAGACCAGTGCAAGGGTGAGGTGCTACAGAGGCAGATGGGAATTTCAAGTCTCTGGGATTCGGGAGGGAACACAAGCTCTCAAATTAAAACCCACATGAATTTCGGTCAAGTCCACATGTCTAAGTCAAATGGCAGGGCTGGAAAGCCCTTGAGCTTTCAATCTGGGCCACCAGGCTCACATGAGGTAAGTGGGTCAGCTCATGAACTAGGGCTGGGGTGGCCAGGCCTCCACAGCCCAGTGTCTCACATCACACTCTTTTCCACATTGCACGTTGGTACCTTTACCGTGTTGAGGTTGCCTTTTCATATCTTAGGTGATTAGTGGTG